TGGAATATCAGAATTGACGGAATTTGGATCTAATAGGCAAAATTTTAGAAATACTGCTATTTTTTTTATCAAATTCCAGCAAAAAATTCAAGCTGTATGGATCTGATTCATTTCGACCAGCGACTAAGTAAATTTGTTTTCTCAGTTTGATATTTTTCTACTCAATAGGTTCCATAAAAATTAAGAAAAAATATATGCAAGAATCTAGTAACTATTACTTGAAAAAGTGCGAATTTTGGTTTCAAAAAAATAACGTGTATGTTTTAAAAAATTATCGTGTCATCTTAAAATTGGGTTCGCTTGGGTAAGTTTACATATTTATTTTTCGTAAATTTTGTGTTTTATATGTATAGATGATAATTTTGGTAGTTAGCCTAATAAAAAAGGAAATAAATGAAGACAAGATTTAAGACTCTTGACTTTCAGAAAACATTCAAATATATAATAAAAATATAAAGAATTTGATGTTGTTTGGTGTTTAGGTGAATGAATAACTTAATCTCTTGTAAATACCGGTGATATGTAAAAATGTATATATTTTTATGTGTATACTAATATTTTGATGTTGTGATAGTTAATTATGTTTGGATTTAAGTAGATGATTGATTTTTAATGTATTAGTGTAAATATTTATATTAAATCAAGATTGATGACTCTTGATGAGATAGAAATACAGTTTACTATGAAATTCAAATTTATAAAAATTTAGCTTGTTGCTATTTATACACATAAATATAATTTTTAACAGTTTTTTTTATACGTAACATCAAAGGCTCGATTATCCAGATTATTTAGTAGTTTTAATACTTGGAAATACTTAGGTTTTGTAAAATGCATTAAACAAAACCGTTTTCATAAAATTATGAAAGCTATTCAAATTTCTTGTCAAATTTCATTCCCATTTTAAGCATTTAGCACGCCATTATATTAAAAATTCGTTCGCAATCTCCGTCACAAATTCACGAAAAAAAATCATTTGTGCTAAAAAATCATATTTTCTGAAGTACATAATTTCACATAAACATGTATAAACACATACAGCAAAACACAACACACAAATTTGGTATTATTTTTACCAAAAAGTCTATTAAGAGACTCGATAAATGTTGTAGCTGTATAAATAATGCTTTATAGAATTAACAATAGTAGTTTAGAATAGTAGTTTACATTTATTTGAGTTCAACTGATGAAAAAAAAATATAATTAAATTTGTTGATCTGTGCATTTACAAAATTTGTGTACAAAAAGCAAAATTTAACTTTGGTATACTTTGGTGTCAATATCAAAATAAATTCAACTTCAATTATTGTCTCAAACATAACTTAGTTATGTAACGACCTACGTTCATAATAAACCATTCAAATATTTTTTCTATCCCACACATAAGAGAATGGCAAATCGATGGATTGCCTCTCATGAAATAAGTAGTCATAAGTCTTGACCAACAGCTTATAGAACCTAAAAGACTTCTGATTGCTGTTCAAACAATTATATAAAAAAAATCAAAAACTTTCAAACAAACTCAAAGTTCTTCCTCAGTTGAAATCAAATAAAACCAATTCTCAAACCATTAATAATCAAAACATCACTTCCTACCTTTCGTGCAGGACGTCCAATCTGGTCACCATCTCATGGTAGATCCGTGTCACCATTGCACGATCTCCTGAACCCCTCAAAGTTTATGCCAATGTCAGCAATTGCCCGTGACCCATGGTGGTGGGACGCAGTGCCCTCCTGGAAGCCATATGACCCCTTTCTAAGATGGGGCAGATCACCATCCTTCGCAAGGGACTCCTATCTCTCACCTGTAAAGAGAACGTATTTGTGGAATAAGCATCCAGCTCGACCATTGGGTAAGATAATTGTTACATTATTAATAGATTGATAATAAAAGCAGAATTATAGAGCATGCATTTTAAAAATAAAACTATTTTGTTTTTATTTAAACGTATATAAGGATGCAAAAAAATCATATGGCTTAAACAACATTTGCTCGAAATGGTGGTCCTGAATATGGACATTTTCGAATTCCTTTCTCCCAGGGTTCAAATGGTTCCAAATTGATAAAAAACAATTATCTGAAAGTTTTAGCTCTTGATATTACATTTAGATAGTGCGCAATTCAAACTTCGTATGTATATAGCATGGAAAAAAATTTCGAAATCAAAAAAACAATTTTTTTAGGTATAAATTTGTCGCTAAGACAAATGAATCAAACGTGAAAATTCGTGTCATTTTTTATTGAAAATTTAACGCTCTGGAAAACAGGTTTTTTATAATTTGTTTTGTAAAGCGTCGAATTTTGAATGAATTTTTTTCTAAATTTTAGATAAATTTT